GACCACGGAGTCTGTCTGAGGACAAACGCTGGCTCCCTCGGCTAGGAAGCAGAGATGAGCACCACCCCCAAGAGTCAGACATGACTGGACTTTAATGTCATGGGAAAACCTTTACAGAATGTCACTGGATTTCTCTCACCTTTTCCCTTCAAGGAATCGTGGTTGCTGGTATAGCTGTGGTTGCTGCTGCAATTCTATTTGCAATGAAATACAAAGATTTCCTTAAAAGTGGGTGAGTCAACCCAGTATATGCTATCTCTAGTTCCTTATAGCCTCTGCGGCTCTGCCACCAGACGTTTGTTTCTAGGCTTCGCTGTGCCTTCTCTATAACCTGCACTTTTTTTCTAAATGTACCTTGTGCTCAGGAAGGGCTTATGCTTTGTGCTTTGAACAGCTGCACTAATCTGCAAAATAGAAGAAACAGCATTAACTAAAAGGCTGTGGTTTTCTAGAGTGGCTAAACTATATTATTCAGCTGGAGTTCTGGAATTAGAAGTGTACTTCTTCCATTTACATTAACTGCCCATTCTAACACAGGGTTGCAATACCTACCAAATATTCTGGCAATGAAATTTCTAAAATCCCTATCAAAATAGGCTTCTTTGTGGAAAAACACTGAACTGATCATTCCCCCTCTTTTCTGATTTGCCAGAACAGGCAGGGCCTTGAAAGGCATATGCCTAGCAATATTTTCTCAGTCTTCCTTCCAGGTGGACTTTTAGCCCATGATAAAGAATATTGGATTGAGAATTACAGGCTTCCCCAAAACCATAACTGAGCTCTCATATTCCAGTCCTCTGTCCACTGGATTGTGCTATTTAATGGAGAGGTGTGTTCTGAAAACCTAGAACAGCAGGAGCCCCTTAGAATGTTGGCTAAACAATGGATTGAACCTCATGGTGGTGCTGAATGTTGTAATGATTAGGCTCAGTAGTCCCAGCTAGGTGAGTTTGTAATGTCCATCTTCGTAATGAGCTTAGGTCACCATTTTACAGCTAAATTGATCACAAGCTCTGAGTATGGGTGGTCTGTATCAAAATCTTATTTCTATGCATGCACTGAGGTAGTTGGATTAACAGAGAAAAGATGTGTGAAAACAACCAATCAGAAAGTAGGTCTATAACTTGAAGGTGCATAATGTCACCATGTCATTACGTGTTTCTGAATACAGCTCCCAAAATGCTTGTTTATTCAGACCGAGAGTTCATTTTAAGGGAGATCTCTTCTCCAAACTTATTATCGAAATAAATTTTGCATTCACCTGGTGCAAGTTTGCCATTGCTACAGTTGTACCCAGTGGAGACTTTAGGCTAGTGAAAGCACAAACACAGGACTCCTGCTTTTCTCTGATCTCTTCCCCTTGCAGCCCACTATGCTATTTTGCACAATACTCCCTCCCATTGCCAGGAACAGCTTTTGTGGCATTTGGAGGGGAGGAAATTACAGTGCATAAGAGGGATCGGCCAAATCAGCTGCTGTGCATTATGCAAATAGAACTGCTTTCTATTAGCCTGAAGCCACCATTAGATGCAAATATCACATAGTTCATTCAAGATACTGAATGTATGGTAGAAGTTTAAGAAATAAAGTTTTACATAAGAATTTATTTTTAAACTGAATTGTTGCTTCCCTTTGAAATTGTTTCCAGTTCCGAAGTTCACAAATAAGGCAACTGCATGACTTGTCAGATGCACAATTCTACATCATTTGGGAATTGGTGCGAATATTAATCACTGAAGGCATTTCCTAAAATGATATTTTAATAGGTGACATTACATCCATTCATTGTCAAAGACCTGGGTCACCTATGCTAGGTTCAAGATAAGAGGGCACAGTGCTTGTGAAATTTTGAGGTAAAGCAAAGATTCTAAAGGGATATTGGGAGTGAATGTGTTTTCACTTTTAAACTATGTATTTTGCAGATGTGTTTCTGTTGCATTCACATAATCCTAGTCAATTTGTTTGATTTACAGCTAATATCTTGCAGTTGCTAACATTTGGATTTTCCTGTCCACAAAGCAAGAGCAATGCCTCTGTTCAGTGCAAGCAATGCTGTGCCTATGTATTGCTTTTACTCTTACAAGCAGGATTGACATGAGGAAGTTAATTCTTTAAATTCCTTTCAGTGAAGTTTAAATATGTGACTTTTTATTTTTAACAGAGAACCTGAACCTCAGCCTAGCTTTCATGCAAGCTCGCATAAAGATTTTCCATTGGAAGTAAAATGAAACTTGCAAGACATGATCTAATTGCACTGAACTTCTACAGTGAAATGCCAATAATGTTCTAGCAGTTGATACCAAGCAGTTGTTCTTTCAGAAGCTGAGGATGGGAACAGTGAAGATCTGAGTGGAATATTTTAGCTTTTTTTATTCTTCAAGAGGCTGTACAGATACTGGAATTTGGAACTGAAAGCAATTGGCCTCAAGAAAACCTGATGACTTGCACACGTTGCTTTTACATAGAATTCTTCTGCATTTGGGTATCAGAATGAAAAATGGAATTGTGGTCACTGATCATATCTCTGCCCCAGAAGTTATATATTGTCTTTAAAAGCATAGAAATATTGGGATCTTGTAATGGGATCTTGTTAAGAAATATTGAAAGCCTCATATCACAAGAGCATGTTCACATACATCTTTTGAGGAGATGCATGACTGTCAAAATCCATTACACTTCTGAATTTCTTAGAATGTCTCATGCAGAGCCATAACTAATGTTACCTTGCTTCTCTCTCATGGTTCAAAAATGTGCTCAAAAATGTGGCTAAAATAAATTGCGTCCTGCATGTGTTTCAGTAAGGAACACAATGTTGTATACTTCACTCACACAAAATCAAGGGGCACTCTTAGGACACAGACTTCAGCTGGAATAAATTAATAACCTGGTTGCCCCACTGAAATCATTGTGACCAAAACCTGCTGTTCTTCAGCCATCTTCAGCACAAGTTTGTTCAGTTGAAGCAGGAATTTTGTGTGTATTTATATGAAGTTATTACTTTGCAAATGTCATGTTGGACTGTACATAGTGTTATTTGTTAACAGACTTCATATTTAAGTAGCTTAACAGAATAAAATCTGTGAACGATAAGGTTTTCAAATAAAAGGCTCCAAGCATCATGGATGCCTTTTCTCCTCAAAGAGACAAGGAGCTGGGTATGTAATATAACTGTGCTGAATGCCACATGCAGAGAACAATTTCTGGCTATGGGTGGATGCACAATACAGTCAAAACAGACATGTGTGGGCAGCAATATAGTACCCAACAATGTGTTTCAGGCATTCTTCTTAAGCACAATTCATATAGGACAGTGCCTTGGGCATATCAATGACCTGCTTCTCATGCAGCTTCATTGTGGCTGTCCAGCCACAGTGGGTTGCCATGTCATCCAAATGCAGGCTGACCTATGGGGGTAGGGGTGGGGCAAGCCATCCAGTCAGTCCATGGGTTGTTCTAGCAGGAGTTTGTACCATAATGAGTTCTCTTGGCCCATGCCACTGCCCTTCCACATCAATGCCCAAGCAGAACTTTGGAGTAATTATCACTGGTTTGCCACCCTTTTGCTTATTCATTTACTGATCTAAGAAAATTGAGCAATTAATCCCAACATTTTATTCCCCAGACCTTAAAATGATGTAAAATTCCCCTCTGTTAAATGTGTGTATATTTTCAGGGTGGGAGAGGACTGTCAGAGAACTGCAGTAGCCGTAACAATAAGTACTCTGAAAAGGATCTGCAAAAAGGTGGTGATAACCAGTATCTCCCTTTCAGGACTAGCTGGTTATTTGGGGACATGCTGGATAGGCGGGAGGCACTGGGAAATCAGTTCAGCCTTTACAATTGAAAGGATTGCATTACTGAGAGAGAGACACTGCTTTGCCATTTAGGTGCACTCCTTTTACCTCTTTCCCCCACCCCCTTTACCAATTTTCAGTCAACAATTATACAATTGGACCAGGACAATTGTGCATAAATTAGTCCATATGCAGTCTTAGCTTATCAGTTTCCTTGTCTGTTACCTACTCTATTTCAGGCTGCTGAAGGACATTGACTAAGCAAGACTACCCATATGGGGACAGCTCTAATTGTTCCGGATTGACATTCAACAATAAGTAAAACAATATGAACACATTTTCATAATTTTCAGGGTCAGAAAAATAATAAAATATAGCAAATTATGCTCTCTGGGGGCTCTCTTGTCACATGCTGCAAGCACTGAACCCTACTGTACTGAGTTCTGTCCTCCTTTCACACAAAGCTTTTCTGAAATTAATCTGTGTGGTCTGCTGTTTTGTGAGCCAAGACTGGTCCTGCACTCTTTTTTCTGTGTTATGTATCTCACAGTTGTATAGCAGTCCAGTTCAGGAAACAGTACGAAATATGTGGATGGATGGATAGATGGATGGATGGATGAGATTACTGCATATGTACTGTATACACATATTCTGGGAATCCACGACCACTGGAAATTTCCTAATGTGGGATGTGGGTAGAGTATATATTATGTGCGGCAGGACAGTGCCTGCCTGAAGTCACAACCAAATTCTAATAGTAAATATTAGTTCTCATTTGTTGAATGTAGTTTCCGCTGCTGTACTTTCCTGTTTTGCACAAGCTTCATTCCGCTTGTCAAGGGAATAAACTATACCCCATGTATAGTATTTCTAGCACAAAACAATCAGGTTCCACAAGATACTTTATGGCATATTAGAAGCATCAAGGTGCCAGATAAAATACTGGTTGATAAAATATTGCATGTGCTATAACAGATTGCAATCTTTGTAGTACAAAATTTCCCAGGAATACAGCACTGTTAATTTTAAAAGTTTGTGACTATTAAACGCATTCCAAAGGCAGCACTCCAGTCTTGATTTCATCCAGAAATATATACCCCTTGTGAGAAATAGCAGAGACAGAGCTGAGGACAACTCTTTGTAGCTACAAAGGGCTACTGCAGTAAGTGAAAATCAGGTTATGTTTGGACGGGGGATGTTGGACCCCATGTTTGATTTCTAAGATGAGAAGTTCACATGCGGAAGCCTTTCTTATTTGCCATGTAGAAGTGCTGAATTTTGGAACCAAAAATAACTGGTAGACTAAGCTCTGGTCACAACTGCTGTTAATGGTATTAACTGTCAAGCATGGCTAGACAGCATTTCAAGTCCAGTTCCTTTGGGGTGTCTCAGTACAGTTCCTTTTCAGCTTCCTCTCTGAAAGCCCCCGTTTTGCTCTCTTGCTGCTCATCACTTCCTCTTCTGCACTGATATATCTACTGAGATATGCTGTCAACCTTGCACTTGTTGGGACATGAACAAGAGGTATGATTCTTGCTGGCACACTCAGCCTGTTGTGGGGCTCAGCTGCAGTTCTGGCTGTTGCTTTGGGGGAACCAGGTGAGAAGCTGAAACTTTGAATATGCTTTGTTCTACAATTCTAGCTTATGCTTCCACCTCTCTCATACTTTTTGGTCTGTCTGCCTTATTTTTTGCTCTATATTTTCTCCTTTCCATGGAAAGTATCTCAAGCCAGCAGAACTTACTGCTCCAGTTTTGGTTATGCTCTCAGTGGGGTTCCAATATTCCCTGCTTTCTTGGGAGAAAAATGCTTTGAGGAGGTGAGAAGCATGCACAAGAGAGAGGATTCATCTGCACCTATGCAGCCTTTATCTTAAGATGATGATGACAAAAATTATGCTATCTCACCACATGCTCATGATGGATCCAAATGTAACAATTTGGGTCAGCTGCTCAACACATTGAATGAGAACTTCAATTTTTTGTAATTCTTCTAATAGCAACTCTTCTAATGCCTTCTAGTTGTAAACCAAACCATGAAAACTCAACCCCTAAATGGCAGAATTCTGCCATTTTAAAAATGGATCTGAATCTCTAATGACAGCAAATTAGAAGCATTATGTTTAAAATCCTTGTGCCTGTCTGAATCAAATGCTACACTTTCTAAGGGTCTGTAATTGGGGATATGTGTGACTATGATTGACACAAAGGTGAGTTAGCCATTGCTGCATTCAGCCCTGTTCCAAGCCTGGGGAAGGTGTCTCTGTGATTTGTATAAGAAGGAACAAGTCAGCTCTATGCAAATTCTACTTCTGCTGAATAGTAAGATGCTACACATCTGGCTGAAATGATGGTAGAGTGCCCTATAGCAGCTTCACTCTAACATAAAGTATGTCATATGTATTCTAAACAAACAACTCCCTTTAGAAGGAAGCCTCCAGTATGGGAGGTTTCCAATTATCCAAAATCCCTCTGCACAACTGTCAGCAAAGGAGCAGGACGAGCAATGGTGATAATGTTTGCACCTCTGTTCTCCTCTCTCTCTTTCTTGCTTTCCCACTCTAACTAGGTCTCTGAGTGCTTTCAGAGACTGGTCCAGGACTGGACAGGCCCTAAAATTCCTGATTTCCTGGCCTTTCCTGTCCCCGTCGCATTTCCACCAGAACATCCCCTTTTCTCTTCCTCTAAGACTGCATTTGTGACCTTGGTGTCATGCTTCCCCTGGAACACTCCTGAAGAGGAGGACTTATTTTGGTGCTAGAGCTCCAGTCCAACAGTTCAGGAGCACCTGCTGTTGACTCAGGAAACGTCTTCCCTGGGGCAAGTACAGGTTACAGCCAGACATCAGCTGTAATGCTGGGACCCTCCTGCCAGACCCTCATTGTTCTACCACTGCAGATGGAGAATTTGTCACTTTGCCCTAGAGTGAGTGTCATCTCCAGAGAACGTTCCAAGGGAGAAGCACTTGGCTGCAGGAGAGGGTCCCAGAGGATTGGGAGAGCTCTCTTTGGGAGCAGGACATTGGGGGCAAGAACTGGCTGCCTGCAGCTGTGAAGGGTGGAGGGCCAGTTCAGCCAAGTTAGCATGAAAGGTTCGCTTCAAAGAGGAGCTAGCTCTGGAAAACACCATGTCATTATCTTCAGTTGTGGCTTCCCTGTTTCTTGTCTTGTTTGAGAGATTCCTGTTCTCCAGTGCTGCCTTCCGCTTTTGCTACTGATCGATGATTATATACCTTGGCTTCCTAACAGTAAAGCACTTCTTGACTCATTATCACTTGGTAATTGATTGCCCCTTGGACTGTTTGACTATTGTTCTTTCACTTCTGGCTTCTGAAATAGAACACTTGTGAAGCAGCAGTTCTTTCTGTGGCACTTCCAAGCAGGTAAGGAAGATGGATGAGAACTTTGAGTCCCTTCCTCAAGGTCACAGCAATGTCTGTTTCACACAGGGCTGCAGGATTGCTCTCTCTTGGTGCCTTTAGGCAAAGGGTTCTTGGTACTAGCAATCCTGAAGCATTGTGCTGCTATTCTGTCTTCCCTTCCTTCACAGATTTTCTGTGGTAAGAAAAAAGTGGAAAAGGAGGTGAGCAAACTTTCCAGGATGCGGTACAAATAGAAGATGGCATCACCTGGAAACTCACATAGACGCACCCTAACATTCTCTGAATGAGGCAGTCCAGTTGCATTCTAAAAGCCTCAACTGGAAACAACTTTAGTCCATTGGGTGGAGCCTGCTTCAAACAATGAACCAGTTCATACATCATGGCCATCCACCCTGTGATAAAGCTACATAGTGTGGGCTGCTTGTTGAAAAATCTTCAGTATGCCTAGAAGATGATCAGGCTTACCACTGATTGTTCCCTCCGCACTTCCTCCTCAGTCTTCTAGATGGCATCCCCATGCCATCCTGGCACAACTTTGTCCCTCCGACTCTGATCATGGCTCTTTTTATTCACAGCCATTTCCTTTCCCCTTCCCTTTCCCTTGCTTTTCTTTTGAAGTTTCTATGGAGCACAGCTTGGGATATTTTTCTCTAACCCCAAAATGTGCACAAATGTCTTCAGGCTAGTTTGCTTAGACTTTCGCAAGTCTAGTGCAAATGTAGACTTTTGGCTTTCTGATACGATCTTGCCAGCTGTCAGCTAGTAGCAGATTGATGAGGTGAGGCTGCCTGAGTTGTGAACTGTTGGCACCTGTCAGTTGCTTAGCTGTCACTGTGGCTTTTCAGGAAGGCCTCCTTATTCATGCATTTATGTCACTTTTATTTCTTATAACAAACTCAAAACAACTTTAATTGTATAGTATTGCAGCCTAAAGTGGTAATGTGATAATAGAGAACTGGGGGGGGGGTGCTTTTAGATGACTTTTAGCATTACCAGTCAAAAATCATTGTGCATCTACTCCTTCTTTGCCTCTCTAATGAGAGGGGAAACCCTGAACTGTCCCTTCCAGTGCATACCATCCGCATTGCAGCAATAGCTAGGGGGAAATTGGCAGAGCAGTAGAGTTTCTCGTGGAAGTTTCCCCAAATGAATTATTGTAAAGGTTTAATTTCAGAAAGCCCCATGTGCTAACTTTAACAAGAAAACCCTTGTAGCAACAAATATCCCTTGTGTGTATATAGGGAAATTATTTAGGAAGTGTAACTTCTGTGCCAGCATGGAATATTTCCTGCTTTGTTTGATTATCTTACAGAGTCCCCAAGATCCTGTTGTACAAGCAGTGTGGAACTGGTGCATGTGGAGAATGTAGGGGAAGAGCCATAATGACACTCACACTTCAGTTGGGGTTAAAATGACCACAACTTCCTTGATTACAGCTGTCATGTCCTACCTGGAGGAGGATTCTTCGGAAGACGAGAGCCAGCATAGCAAGTCAGATGCTACAGCTGACTGCCCTGTTCCTTGCATTTCATTTGGTAGCACTTCACCGTGAGCTAATCTTGCCTCTTTTTCTTTTACCATTAGGTAGCTGTGGCCCCGCAGCTAGGCTGGACTTTGCTGAGCTGGCGGACAAGTATAAAGGAAAGAATTCCTTTCCTGTTGGCTCGATTGTGAAATATGTGTGTCGTCCAGGCTATCACAAACTACCTGGACTGAACCACTCCAGTACATGCCTTCAAAGCCAGAAGTGGAGTAAAGTTCAGGAATTCTGTCAAAGTGAGTCACTTAACATTCTTGAAGTACTTATGAGGGAGATAGAATGGTATGTGTTGTCTCTATGGTTTTAATGGAGGAGCTGAACTGCCCTTGTGAATTTATGCAGTTCTGCCCTTGTGAATTTATTTTAAAGGACATGCAGACAGAAACTTGACTAATGCTTGAAAAATACTTCGGGATATTTTTACATACAAAAGAAAATAATACTTGTTTTGTTTTCTGCTAGAAAGACGATGTGGATATCCAGGAGAACCAGAAAATGGCCAGTTGATTGGCTCAGAAGATCTTCTCTTGGGTTCCACTGTAGAGTTCATCTGTAATGAGGGGTAAGCATCAGGAAAACCAATAAAGTTGCCTTTTCCTACCTTAGGATCTCAAATAGCTGCATAGGAAGCAAAAATAACCTGCTAAAACTTTCCTTTCACTTAATCTCCCAAGCAGGGAAACCTTCACTGATTAAACTCTGCTTATTAATACTGAAATTTTAAGGCACAGAACTCTTGCCAAATTTATACGATATATAATGATATATATATAATTAGGCTATGCATTATTGCTCAGAAGAAAATCACAGAGTTCAATGGGACTTACTCTCACATAAATGTGAATAATACTGCTACTTACTATGAAACCATATATCCCTCAAGATGAAATTTTGCATTGTGTTGCATAGTCTAGAAAAAGCTCTATCTTGCTGTCTCAAAGGATTTCAGGTACCTGGGATACTGCACAACTATGTTATAACTGGGCAGCAAGGACTGAACATCTTCAGCACTATCTGTAGAATCCTGGCTGACAAGCAGGCCATCACTTCTATTAGGCAGAGTGAGGCAGTTGCTTGAGGCAACGGGGTGGCAGCAAAGTGTTGGAGGAGATAGCTGTAGGCCGCATGGTCTACCTGCCCTTCCCATATGGAGGAAGTTGCTGACTCATTGCTTGTGTTGAGGAAGGATTCAACTGCCATTCCAGTCAACTTTTCTACAAAGAATGGAAGGGGGCACCATCTTGTCTTTCAGCTCAGGCAGCAAAATGTCTTAGGTCAGCTATGCCTAAGACAGAGCAGAAACACTTTCCTACAATGGTCCCTCAAAGAATTGACTTTAATTTCTTTGCTCATCTTATGTAAGCAGTTCTGGGAGCCTTTTCAGTTGAACAATAAGGTAAAAATGCTTTAAGGAAACAAATGCATTCAGATTCCAAGCATCCATATTCTATGCATCTCATGTGAAAGAAGGTAACAATCCATACTTTTATCTCAATACAGGCACAGACTAATTGGTCAGTCTTCCAGAAAGTGTGTGGTAGAGGACCAAAGAGTTATGTGGACTGGTGACATTCCTATTTGTCAGCGTAAGTAGGCAGCATCTAAATAGTATGTATCTATACAGTAAACCTGTATGGCATCAAGAACACTGAAAAATTAATCAAGTGTAGACAGGAAAGAATAAATAAACCTGCTTGCTCTAGTTCCCAGAATTACAGACACAGATCTAGGTAATAGATGGTCTTTGGCAAAATACTGCTATTGTGTCTCATGCATGTCCTGGTGAAGTGAATTGGACAGACAGAAGTTTACAGTTATGTAACAATTGTGTAGTACAATGAAGCTTGTGTACAAGATGCTCCTGGTAAATTGTCCAAAGTAGGGCTGGGACAAACTCTTTCGAAATCCATCCTTCTGCGATCCAGCGGACTTCCTCTCGTGCTTGACCCAGTCCTGCAAAGTGAGCTGAGCACAGAGGAAACCCATGAACACCCACAGAGGCCCATTAGCACAACTGCCAACCTTCCCCATCAAGAGTGGCTACTGGCACTGGCAGCAGGATGCTGTGAGCAGGGGTGCAAGGTGCCATTCCCAGCAACTTCATGTATGAAATTTGTTGCAGGAAGCATTTCAGAATGTAATGGATCCTAGACATAACTTACCAATATGTAACACTTCTGTAGTGAAACATTAAGCTTTTTGTTAAAGAACAGAAGACAGAGGATGGAAGTAAATGGCACTTTCTCCAAATGGGGACATGTCACCAATGGAGTCTCATGGGGTTCTGCATTAGGACCAATGCTTTTCAACCTAGTCATAAATGATCTGGAATTAGGAGTAAGTAGTGAAGTGGCCAAGTTTGCTGATGACACTAAACCATTTAGGGTGGTTAAAAGCAAAAGGAATTGTGATGAGCTCCAAACAGATCCTTTCAAGCTGGGAAAATGAGCATCAAATTGGCAAATACAAATTGGCAAAAGCAAATGTATTTGCTTAAATACATATAAGCAAATGTATGTATTATTCATGTACTCTTTTGGATTCATGTGTTGTGGAGAGTTGCAGTGATCCAAAAAGTGGTTCTTGTGAAAGAAGAACACACCACTCAAATAATAATCTTTCAGATATATCTTCTGCCTCTTTCTAGGCATTCCATGTTTTCCACCACCAAAAATTCCCCATGGCAAGCATACTGGCATACATATGGATGATTTTTTCTATGGAACAGCTGTAACATACACTTGTGAAGCAGGCTACCCCCTTGTTGGACATGCCAGTATTTACTGTACTACCAAGGATGGGCAAAATGGAGTGTGGAGCAGCCGTGTATATTGTGGAGGTGCAGTTTCATGTTCTTCAGTGTTGTTCTGTGTGTGCTTGTGTAGAAATGTACACCTTGCATTAACTCCCAAGCATGTATGTTTGGTAATTCAGTGGCAAGCATTGTCTTGTATTTTCCCAAGAAGAATGGTAACATCTCCTCATTCCTGAGCCATCAGGACAACTAATGCACTTTTCTATGATACTGCTGTCAGCTAGAGGTGAAACTACAGAGAATGATCTCTTCTTTTTCTTTTTTCCTTTGCTGTTCTAAAATGTACATTTTTTTGCAGTGACCTCCTGTTCATCTCCAGAAATTGCAAACGGAAAGATAGTGGCCGGTGCTTCTGACACATATGCATATAACCAAAAGGTTGTGTTTGACTGCAAAGATGGCTACAGGCTAGTTGGTTCAAGAGAGAGCCATTGCCAAGCGGATGGCACATGGGACCCTCCTCTACCTATCTGTGAAAGGGGCAAGTATGATATAAATTGTGAATAATCAGAGTTGCCTTTCAGAATGCAGTAGACTTTGTTCCATTAAACTTTTACCTAATCACTGATCCTTTTCCTACTGTACACTGAGGGATGAATTTGAAAGGCATTGCTCCACACATCTGAAATAATGTTTTCCCCTATGTTCCAGTTCTAGAGATTGGAGAAAGAAAACTTGAAGGCTAATCACATAAATAAACTTGAAGGAAGGACATCTTAACATTATACTTCATTCCAATTATAGTTTTAAAGCCTTTTTCTTTTAATTCTGTGCCTGCTAGAGGCTTTGCTACAATGTGTTGCTTATAAGAGGAATTTTAATTTAAGCCAACAAATATGGTGATGACAAATGAAAATTCTCCAGAAGGTACAACCTTTCTTCTGTGTCTCTTTAAATTCCTGCTAACTATAGGCTTCTTTTATACCTGAAGTATGCAAAACAGTGAAGACCATTTGGTGAAAGATGAATTGATTGAAAAAGTCAATGCTGACTTTGGGAGCTTTTTTGTAAATACATTATTCAGGAAATAATCTGTTGTTTCATGCTGTCAAGTCACATCAGACTTATGGTGATCCTCTGAATTAATACCCTCCAAAATGACCTGTCCTTGGCAGCCCTGCTCAGCTCTTTTAAACTCAAAGCTGTGGGTTCCTTTATGAAATCATCCATTTCATATTTGTTCTTCTCCTTCTTCTTCTGCCTTTGACTTTGCCTAGCATTATTGTCTTCTCCAGTGATTCTTGCTCTGTCAAGATGTGCCTGAATTATGACAGCTTCAGTTTTATCAATTTTGCTTGCTGCAAAAGTTCTGGCTTGATTTGTTTGTCTTCCTGTTGGTCCAGGATATTTGCAAAGCTCTCCTCCAGTATCATCTTGCAAACACATCCCCTTTCTTCCTGTCAGCATTCTTCAATATCCAGCTTTTACACCTATATACAGTGAACTGGAATATAAGAGTGTGGGTGATCCTGGTCTTGGTCTCCAGTGAAACATCCTTACATTTCATTATCTTTTCTAATTCCTTCATTGCTGCCCTTCCAAGTCTCTGCCTGCTTCAAATTTCTTGCCTTTCAGCTTCCCTTTGAATTGATGACTGACCCAAGCTGTGTAAAATCTGTTACAATTTAATGTCTTCATTGTTAACCTTAATGTTGCACAATTCTGTACTCATGATTTCTGTTTTCTCAATGTCCAGTTGCAGTCCTGCTTTTGAACTTTCATTTTCACATTTTCATCAGGAGTCATTTCAATTTGCTGCTGCTTTCTGCCAGTATCATCTGCATATCTTGAATTATTGGTGTATCTTTCACCATTTTACTCCTTTTTCTTCTGATACTAATCTAACTTTCCTTATGACATCTTCTGCATACAGATTGAACAGAAGATAAAATACACCTTTATCTGATGCCTTTGCCTATAGGAAACCATTCCATTTTTCCTTGTTCTGTCCTAACTAGCTTTTTGTCCACAACACAAGTAATGCATCAGGACTATCAAGTGCTGAGACACACCCATTCCTTTCAGAACATGCATAACATCTTATGCCTCACAGTGAAGAGCTTTACTGTAGTCTAGAAAGCATAGACTGATCTTCTGAAAAGCTTTGGTGTGCTCCACTAGCCAACCTATAGTTGCAGTATGGTCTTAAGTACCTCTTCATTTTTGGATTCCAGCTTGAATGTTAAGTATTTCTCACTCTGTACAGGATATTTGTTGCTGTTGCTGCTGCAGTACATTGAACATCACTTTGCATGCACTGGAAAATAGTTCAATACTTGCTGCACTCCTGAGCATCTCCTTTTTTGGATATTGGAACACACATTGAACATTTGCAGTCAGTAGACCATTGTTTTGTCTTTCAAATTTGTTGGCATATTCTTGTCAACAAGATATGGATAGATTTGGATAGATTCAGTCTTTGCAGCTTGGAACAGTTCTATTGGTACCCTATCTATCCCAGGTGCTTGATTCTTTCCAAGTGCTTTCAAAGCAGCTTTCAGTTTGTTTTCTAATATTGCAGGCCCTTCCTCATAGGATTCCTCTTCAAAGCTGTCTGTCAATCGTTTATCTTTTCTATATAGTTCTTCTATATATTGTTTCCACCTTCTCTTTATTTTCTCCTGGTCATATAATATGCTCCTCTCTTGGCTTTTCAGCATTCTTAATCTAGGTGTGAATTTCCCTTTGACTTCTTGGATCTTTTGGAAGAGGTCTCCCATTTTTCTTCTTTTGCTGTGCTTTTATGTCTTTGCACCATTCTAATAGTTATATAACCACTGAAAAGCAGCATTAATAATTCTGACCCTATTCTGCCACGTTTGGTTTTGCTTTTCATTTGTCCTTGGCAATTGGAGTGTTTTCTCCATCATTCATCCATCTAAGCTTTTAAAACAAACTTTTGCTACAGGACTCATCTTTTTGCAGTCTTCCCTTAATAATGCTTTTCAGATTTACTCTTATTTTTGATAATACAATTTCATGGTCACTACCACAATCTGTTTAGACAAGAAATACAGCTTCTCTATCTTCTACTAGGTTTGCAACAATCTTTTAATAATCTGGCCCTGTTCTCTTCATCAGACTTCCTCTCATGCTTGCCCCTGGATTAGGAAGTAAGATGATTCAAGAGGAAGTCCATGAATACTTAGAGAACTCTGGTTGTATAATTGGCAACCTTCTTCCACAGCATGTGTGGCACAAACAAAGGCTACAAGTCCCATGTGCAAAAGAGGGATACAGCTTGCACAGCATTTGCATGTGGCTCAGCTCCAGTGGCCAACCACCTGAATATTCAGTGCCCTTGGTGCCAAGTTGGACTCATGGCAGCAAGAAAGTAGGCCAGAGTCTGGGCAGCTGAGGGAATCCAACTGATTCCCACTCTCAGACCAGGTTCCCCACATATCAGTGTCTCCAACTTCCAGTTATGTAATCTGTTTTATGTCTATATTGGCAGGTTGGTACAGGATTGGTTGCCTGAAGTATGCATACAGGCAACCAGACGGTTGGCTTTGCAGAATTCCGTATGTTCTCCTGCTTCATTTCTGACTCCTAGGCCAAATGTTCCCACAACTTTTGATCCTGCTTTGTGTCCTACTTTTGAGTTCCAATCACCTATGATCATTAGCATGTTTATTTTGATGTGTTATCAGTTTCCTCTGGTCACTTACATAAACGTTTTCAGTTTCTTTTTCAGCATCTGCTACTGTAGACATGAATGATGGTTTGATATGTTTTTAAAGAAATCTGATTGCTATGATTTGAGCAGAAATTGCATTATAGCCCCTGACTGCTATGCACTACATCTTTCCTTGGTATTATAGATACTCTTGTTTCTTCTGATATTGCCATTTCCACTTGGTATTTGTCTGACTGACAGTGCCTGAGCGCAGTCCACCTTAGCTCACTCACACCAAGTATTACAGTGTTTAACCATTCAATTTCTTGCTTTATGGTTTCCAGTCTGCCTTTAGATTGCTCAGATTTCAATTTCTAATTTTATGCGTTCTGTAGCACTAGACCTTCCTTCTCCCTTATGAACATCTGCCACAATACTTACTTTCAGTTTTAATCTAGTTGAATCACTAGAAACCATGCTATTTGTACTTTTCCTTTCCTCATACCCTGTAGCTGTTTCAAGTCCTGTGGACCTGGGAGTCTCCTCTTCTGGCGCTTTGCCTTGATTCATTTTGGACTGTTTCATTATAGGGCTTGCAGAGTAAGAAATATTTGGAAATGGCCTACTGTTGCTTCTTCTGAGTAGCACTAATCAGAATTAGCTTGAGAGTCACTGCCCTTGTCTGTGAAAGATTCTTTGACAATGCCTGTTTCAGCTACCACTGCTGCTCAGTAGCTGCCCATCAGGAGTTTCTCCTCCCCTTTAACATCAGAGATAACCATTCAGTTCTGCTGATGTGACTATTACTCCTGAAGGGGTTGGATGCATCTTAGTCTAGTCTCTCAGCTTTCACCATTCTACTCTGGGTGACAAGACAAGCCTAGTGAGAGTGTCTGTTTTCCTGGGAGCATTTCTCTGATACTCTCAAATGCCCTTACCATGTTAAGGTGTGCATCCCAAAGAGGACAATAAAGTGTAAGACATTATTTTTAACCCACTACTGTATGCATGCTATTTTATCACACTAGGTATGGTCCCCAAGCAGAGACTTCTAAAGACCATAGGATTGCTTGTAAAATTCTTCTGAGGTTGGAGACAGCAGAGACCAGGGAGGGAGATGCTTGGAGATCTGGTCACCTGCCACTCAGCCTTTCATCAGTGTAGAAAAATCTGTGCTGACTGTTTCACTGGGGTTGGAAGCTCAACTTTAGAGAAGGGGAAAGGGGGATCCACTGCTGAGTACGGAGGGCTGACATTCAGAAAGACAGGGTAAGACTTATCCTGGGCCTCTTCCAGCCTCTTTCCCACCCACTCTGGAATTCCTTCTCTAGATCTAATTCATCTAGAGAAATCTGCAGGGAGGATGAACCAGAGGCTAATATTCCCCTGCTGGTCCTCCCACCATGGATTGGCTCCTGGACACCTCCACATTCAAGGGATTCTGATTACAGAGGGCAATGAAATTGCTCCCTAAATGGTTTAATGTAGAGTACATGGTTCTGTAATCACAAATTAAATCAAATTAAAGGAAATAAAGCTGGAACACACATCATAAAAGTATACTCACTATGTGAACATGCCATAAGCAAAGTTCTTAACACTGTAAAGAGTGGAAATGAATTTTTAGATGTAACAGGCACAATGCAATATAATTGTTTAGAGTAGTCATAGCTAAAGACTTAGGTATAAGAATTTCTAATCTCCAGTAGGGGAGGAATGAGAAGGAGGTGAACAAGGAGGTGGTGGTGGAGGAGGTAACAGCAGTGGAGGAAAAGTAGTAATGGAACTTACAGATGGAGAAGCTAGTCTTAAAATGGGAAGACTCACCAGATGGAAGTCTCACTGTTCTCCACCAGATGGCTGAAGATTTCTACAGGTCCTGAATCTGATTTGACAGAGAAACAGAAAGGGAAAATAATTCTTGGCTCTTGCTTTTTAGTGTATGAGTGAAGAAACTGTTGCATTTCATATGTTGAGTATCTCCCATCAGTTCCACCTAGAAAGGACAATGTTCAGGGAAATGGGAAATGCAATCCATTAACTTCTGGAAGGCTACAGGTTTTAGAGGAGTGGCATGCTACAGGGGGTTTACACTGTGACTTAATGAAAGCCAGGTAAATCCTGGCCAATTCAAGCTGTGACCTACTTCTACACACAAAGCATGTGTTTTCCTATCAAGCTATGGTTTTCTCCAGTGATCAGGAAAGGGATTTTGATTTTATGTTAAATTCTGCAGTTCTCCAGTTTGCAGAACTAGAATGTAATAATGGCTTTATCCTTTCATTTGTAGTCTATGGCTGTGCAAGTCCAGAAAGTCAGAATGAAAGAATAAAAGGCTCTCAAGTGCTAGCTAAACCATTTGAGCATCACAGTTGAATGTGACTCTGGCTACATCCTAAAAGGCAAACATACAATTCAATGCCTGTCTGATGGCACATGGGATTCCCCTATGCCAACCTGTGTCAGAAGTATGAACTAGCATATATGTGAATATAGTTCCTCACCTTTTAATAAGCAAGAATGCTAGTTATGCTGGATCCTCCTCGATAATTTCAGATATGAACCGAATTGCAGCTAAGCCTTCATATTTAGGCTTAGATGAGAATGTCCACAAAATGCCCTAGAGGAATTTGTAAGCTATTTTATCATTCTGTGTGTGCCAAGTTTCTGGGTTTGTTTGTGAAATGCACTGAATCTTGAAATAGGAATAATATCAAAAAAGGATACACTATCCCATATTAGATGGACAAAGAAAGAGGTGCAATGGATATGTTTTATTTAGTCTTTATTATTATTATTATTAATATTATTATTATAACATTTCTATGCCGCCCCTTGCCGAAGCCTCGGGGTGGCTTACAACACAATAAGATACATTGAAATACAATAGAACATAATAAATTACCACTAAATACAAAAATACAAAAAATACACTGAGATACAATAATATAAAATTAAAATTAACAGTATAAAATAAGTAAATAAAGAATATAGGAGGAGAAAAGAGAAGGAAGAAGAAGTTGCCCTGGCCAGATCTTATATTTTAACAAGTAAAATGATGTTTAAATAAAAAGGTCTTTACCTGGCGCCGAAAAACCCGTAACGACGGTGCCAGGCGGACCTCTTTGGGGAGTGAATTCCATAGGTTGGGCGCCACCGCAGAGAAAGCCCTCCTCCGAGTACTTACTCTCCTAATTTCTTTCATGGAGGGTTCCCGGAGAAGGGACTCTCCTGCAGATCTCAAGGGGTGGTCGGGCATATACGGACGTAAGCACTCGTTCAGGTAGC